AATATTGTTAAAGTAGTTATTCTGCAGTTGAAAACATACAGTTCAATTTTAATACTTTCTGTAGTAGTAAAAAATTACGAAAGATAGATGAATATATAAAAGAAAAAATGAACATTGAGATCAATGATATACATGTATAGAAAAATATTAAGTGGTTAATGCACTGTAACGTTTAGTGGCAGGAAAATTTTCTAAAATTAAGAATGTAACATTACACAATATGATACAATAATGCAATATAATAATATAATGCATTTTAAATATATAAATAAGTGTATACAATACTGCATCCATTTAATTCGTTCCGCATTAGTACGAGCACAATACACATACCGCTTCCTAAAGGCGTTAAACGCAGAACGATGTGCAAAAGAGATATCTGCATGTTTCTTCTTTAATGTAGAAAAGCGCCTAGGAAGGGGAATGCTTTTCACAATGTATTTGGCTTACAATGCAGAATGAATCAAATGTAAATATTTATGCACGTATCCAACCACGCATACTGTGGTTACGTGAATGAAGTCGAATAAGCGTTGCGCAAATACACAGTATACAATTGAATATACACAACATGTGCTTATGCATATATCAGAAGGCTATGTTGTGTGCGCATCGTATACTGTATATTTGCCGTGGTCTATAAAATGAGTAAAGTGGAAACCAAGCTAATGCCCAGTTTATATAGCATCAAGGTTTACCGTTCTTTTCAATAAGTGTGAAAAATAACATAGCCAAAGGCGATATAAAGAGGGAGATATTACATTTTCAATCGATTTAGCTATAGCCATTTTCAATAGATCTTCAAAAGATAGCGACCATTTCTTTTATTTTTAAACGTTTAAAGTTAGTAATTATAGCAGTAATAGTAATAGTAGTAATAGATGCAATAGAAACTGCAATGTTTAGTTTCACAAACTTTCTTTTAACAGATTATTTCAAGTTCAGTTAGTTTCTACTCAATATAATATTTTAGAGTATTTTATACATTTGTGAGTTTTCATTATCAGTTGTGAGCTATACCAAATTTTTTTCATGACAGTGTTCTCTTATATCATTGCAACATTGAAATTATGATACATTTTAAAAATTTGTTTTCACTTTTCACCATTAAATTTGTACATGAAATTTTTATTGCCAACGGCGAGTGTTTCACAACACACATTTTTTTTATCATTATCAGTATTATTATTGTTATCATTGTTTACTTTTAAAATCGTTATATGTAATTATAATAATTAAATCTCACTTCATTCAATAATGTTGCATATGTTAAAAATGTTATCTTCAGTGCTTTTTCATTTCATTAGAAATTTAAAAATGATAAAATACTATATGTACTAAATAACAAATTTTAAAAAATTGCAAAGCATTTACGTGTACACAATGTGCTATTTTTACATACATGTACAATATTTTTTACTGTGCATATATGCATATGCATATATATACACATGTATGTATATGTATATATACTTATATAATGTCACATACAAAATACAAATAAAATATTAATAAAATATACAGGTGAGGATATATAGCATATTCATGAAGATTAAATATCAATAAGATTGTAAGTGCAGTGTACATTTATCAAATTTGAATTGTTATAATTTTAAATATGTAATTGTTGCAAACTTCAGCGTCACTTGAGTAAGGATACGCTCAGAGGGAGCAAGGTAAAGCATCGGTAAGTTTTCCGGCGAAATGAGGTGGGGATACGAATGTTACACTGATCCGGTGCGAAAGACGTTACACTGATCCGAGGTACACTGTATACAGGGTGTTCACTCTATTAGTAGCCAGCGTTTCTTTCGTAAATGGTAAGTACTAGAAAAAAAATGAAAAAGGAAAAAGTTTTGCAGTTTTCTATGACCAACATAATAGTAACCTTTAATTCTTTAAGTGGAATGCTGCATATTTTTTTTTTTGTATCACATGAAAGCATGTATCAAGACGAATTCATCCATGTGCTTCACAATGATTATCAGGGTCATACAAGGTTAGAAATTAAAGAAATATTTCAAATATTACGTATCGAGGTATTTACCAAAACACTTAAAAAAATGTCCAGCGTTCCATTTCAAAAATTAAAGGTCTCCTGCGTTTCTCATAGAAAACAGCAAAACTTTTTCATCTTCCATTTTTTTCTAGTACTTATCATTTACGAGAAAAACACTGGCTAGTAATAGCGTAAACACCCTGTATATGTGGGATTGAGACTTCATTACTCATTAACAGGAGCAATAATAACAAGAAAATAAAAAGGGCACCCTGGCTATAAGTGTTAGAGTCCCGGTTTTGCTGGCCGGAGATCGTGAGTTTGATTCCTACTTGGGTCCTCATTTTTCCTCTGCTCCTACATATATGCTTTAAATTTTAATATTGAATGATATCAGAAATGTTTTGTGTGTGCTGTATGAAAATATAATGTACTCACTTATATCATTTACTGCCTTCAAATTAATTTCAAGAATTGTGAATTTATAAAATGATTTTATAAAAAGAATAATCTTTTTTTATA